CCCACCTCTCCACCACTGCCCTAGCTGTGTTCTCACCTTCATCCCCAGAGGTTCCCTGTTCAGCCACCGCAGAATCTTCATAGGGAGCAGAGGGCTCGAGGGGAGGTGTGGGAATGGGAGTAGGAGAGCTAAAGCCTGGCTCAGAGGGTAGCACAGTGATCTGGGTGCACTTGCCGTAAAGGTCCACAACAGCCCAGACTCGAGCAGGCAGGCCTGTGGCAGCCACACCACAATCCCGCCCATTCACCCAGAGCCGCAGCTCCCCGGCAACCGTGCGCTCCACGCCCACACGGTCCCCTTCGCCAAGCTGGTCCAGGTCCTGACCATACTCCTCTAGCACAGAACGTCCATCCCTCAGCACGGAGCAGCCAGACACTACCCATGAGCCCCCCTTCAGCCCCGTGGCGCTGCTTGGGAAGTCCAGCACACTGGGGTCCAGTGCCGTCACCCCAATTTCAATGGAGCCACTCCAGGAGTTGACCTGTGATAAGGGTGGTGGACACAGGGTCAGAGTGAGTCACGGATGGATCTCTCACCACTATGAAACCATTTTACAGACCACGTCCCCCTCAACCCAACTCTCAGACAGCTTAACTGGTTTTTTCTCTTGAGACATGAGACGCTAATCCAGAGATGCAGTCCCACAAGTAATTTTCTGGACTCTGTCTCAGGGATTGTTTGATCTGCTTTCCCCGGCAACTCTGCACTGTACTGTGGGTGCTCAGTGTCTACAATACCAATCCTTTCCCCCAACATGCTGGCTAAATTCCCTGGCTTCAGCCCCCTGCCTCATCTAACTTCACTGGGCTCTGTGGCTTCTCAACCACCCCAATCCACAGCTCTCTCTGCCCATATTCCTTGCTCTTGTATATCATTTTCTTCCCCTTGGCCTAATTCTCTCCTATCTCTGGCTCCACTCAGATTCACTCTCCTTGCAAATTCAATCTTTGTGCATCTGGTCTCTTCACTAAATTACACACAAGCACATACATACCCCTCCTTCTCCCTGAGAAGCTTCTCTTACCCATTTTTCCCACCCAACCCTGAGTTTGTCCTTCAATGGTCTGTTCTTTCCTTGCTTATCTCTCTTCTCCACCCATCACATCTCTGACATCTCTCCATCTTCCATCTCCCAGAAATTGCTCCAGAAGTTCTGTTTCCTATTCGTTCTAGTGAGTGAGGCCCGTGTCCCTTCCCTGCTCCTGGGTCTTGAGAAAACTCTAGCTCTCCTTGTCTCCTTCCCCTTCAGACTGAATGTTTCTGTTTCATACTCCCTTCCTGCCCGTCACCTGGTGTCCTAAGTCTGTCAGTTTCCTCTTGGTAATGTGGGCTAACCTGGCTGTCCTACCCCGTCTTCCCTCTGGTCCCCTCCCACAACCCTCCACATCTCGGTTCCGCGGCCCCCAGTCCACACCTTGCGGTCGATGCGGACGGTGAAGACGCGTCCATCGCGCAAGGGTTCCCGGCTCAACACCAGCCCGTGGTTAAACTCCTGGCCCGGCTGCTGCCGCCGCGCTGTACGCCCACAGGCCGACAAGCTCACCAAGCGCCCAGTTCTCGGGTGTAGCTCCCCACCGCTGCCCAGGCCCCCGCCAGACCCCGGTCCTGGGCTGCTCCCGGCAGGGCCTCCACCCCCACCAGGCCCCGGCCCCGGGCCTCCCCCAGAGCCCCCACTCCCACCCGACCCCGCCGCCATCGCCGCTGACGCCGGGGCCGCGCGACAGCCGCGCTTGGCGGCACCGTGGCAACCGCGGTGCACAGACACCCTGAGGGAATAGGACCTCGGGCTTGGGGGGGGGGTGCAGATATGCTTTACGGCACTGCTAGACACTGAAGCATCCCGGGCTAGGGAATTAATTACTACCACGGTGGGAAAAGGACGACGGGGTCGGAAAGGTTTACTTTACGGCACGGCAAGGTGACGGAGTGGCTCCGAGATGAAGAATTGGACAGGGAGCTTTTGCGACAGTGGAAAAAACGACTGCCGCAGGCATCTTTACGACGGAGGGGGGGGTACTGGCACCTAAAACTTGCAGCTTTGCGACAGCGTCACCTACGACCCCGCCCTCGTCGATGGAGGCGACACCTTGAAGTATTCGCTTTACGGCAAGAAGGAGGTGTCTTCTTCACGCTACACGCTTCAACGTGGTGTGAGCCGGAACCGGTAATATATATATATATATATATACATATATATATATACATATATATATAAATGAAAATCTCTGCCCTCCACACCATTGAGACAGGATATGTCTTGCGACAGTGTCGCAATCCCTCCCCTTTGTATCACATCTCTCGTGAGAGGTAAAGCAGGCCGACTTTTGGGGGGAAAAGGCTCACGGATGTTTCCAGTCAAGCCCGCCTGGAACTCCAATCCAATCAAACTTAGATTTTAAAGCCACAAATAAGTCCAAAAAAACCCCGGCAGGCAGTTTCAAGCAATGGCGCTAATGGTTCCAAAAGATCCCCCAGAGCTATTAAGCCCCCAGCCCAAATCCGATGCTCGCACTACGGCTGGAGAACTCATGTTACAAGGCCTCTGGCCCCAAGACAAGAACCCCTGACTGTGATTGGACAATTAGGGCAGTGATGGGAGATGGGCGGGAACAAAGCCCAAAGACAAAGAAATAAGATTTGGGGGTGGGGCAAAAAGGGAGGGGCAACCGAAAGGGCTCCCTGCCCGAGGTCCCTATATAGTCTTGATTCCACCCACCGCGACTCCAAGGAGCAAAGGGGGAGGGGGCCCAGGCCACAGCCCAAGCTTCTCCCTCCCTCGGTGGAGGCGGGGCCTCAGGGGCGGGGCTATGTGAGCAGGGAGGCGGGACGGGGTAGCTGAGAGTGGACCCCTGGTGGGGCCATGGAGAAGCAGGAATCTCTGAGGGCGGCTGGCGGCCTCAAGGGGAATGCTAGGAGGCATCGGAAGAGTCGAGGAAGGCGCCAGGCTATCCTCCGTAGTAGTCTTGTCTCACGGTCCTGGGCGACCCTGGCACTCTGGGGGAATTTGTAATTTGCATTCTTGGTTCTAGCCGGCCCTCCGGGGAGGCAGCGGTCCTCGGTTCCGGGCCCAACCAGCATTCTGGGGAGGTTGCGGAGCACAGTCTTGGGTCCGGCACGTACCCTGGCGGATTTAACACCCCCTTTCCTGAAACCAGTGTATCCGGGACGTCTGGCCTTGGGTCCGAGGGGCCTGGGGTGCACAACTCAGGATGCAGTCTGCTCTCCGGGTCAACTTGTTTGCACCCCCACAAACCCTATGAGGATCGGCTCCGGAGTATCTAAAAAATTGCAGCTGCACTTTGATGTATAAATCCCCCAGTGCAGAAAAGTAAGGTTCCCAGCTCAACTGGCAGGCAGCTCGGAGCCCAGAGGGAGGGGTTCCGGACACTGGAGTGAGGGAGACAGGAGGGAAGAGGCGGAATCCTGAGGATTAGATGTGAGACTAGGTGAGAGCAGTTAGGTGGGAAATCTGAGTTTCCAAGTCTTTGGGAGAGTAGCGGATACCGGATAAACTCTGACTACTAGTACGCGATTATCATTAGGTGTGACCCCCATCCCAGCCTCCTATGCCTCTGGAACTGCAAGGGGATACAAGAAAACGTTTTTGAGTGACTAAAAGAATTAAGGAGGGGGCCCGGCGGAGTGGCGCGTTGGTTAAGAACTGGCTTGAGACGCCGGTTCTGAGCAGCAGGGCCCCAGTTCAGATCCCACATGGGCGCCGGTGTCACTGCCCTCTACAGCTAAGATGCTGAACAACAGCTCAACCTGTAGCTGGTCTGCAGTGAGTCGCAGGCGTCAGAGTAGGCTGCAGCCCCTGCTGCAGTGGGTTGCCATAAGCTACTGTGTGTGGCCCAGCAGCCAGCGTGAGCTGCCGACAGCTGGTGTGAGCTGCCAAGAGCCGCTGTGAGTGGCCATCCAGAGGCCAGCGACTGATCTGCCTGACCCAGGAATGCAATGAGCAATGATAATACCAACATGGGCCAGTGAAACGACGTCCTCCACAACTAGACTGAAGAACAAAAGGACAGCAACTTGTCTGTTCCCCTTCCCTGATTCTCCAACGCTGTTCCCCTCACCCAATTCCCCAATAAAAATCTTTAAAAAAAGGACTCCCTGACAGTGACAGCAACACCATTGCAGCCTGGTGAGGGTACCAGGCCACCATCTCACTAGGCCTGGCTCTTGGCAACCTCCCATCCCCCTAATCCCCTCTCCTTTCAGGCCAGTAGATCAGCAACGGGTGCTAAGGCTCTAACCTTCCTGGTGTGCAAGGCCCACATTATACAGAGAGGAACCAGAGAGCCTCAGGAGTTGGGTCCCCCTCCACCTTGGCACCACCTGCTGCCCCCATGCCTCCTCCCTGACTCCTCTCTGCCACCCACCCCACTCCTGGTACTGTCCTGTCTTCCAAAGACAATGTGTCCCAAGTAGTGTCTGGGTGGTGTCAGTGTCTGGCATCCAAAAGGCTGAATTTCCAAAGCCCAGAAAGCTCAGAAAGGGAACCTAGAAGCAACCCAAACTCTCCAAACCAAAACCAGTGCAGACATGAGCTCAGGCATGGACAAAGGGCTGCCTGCACTGGCCAGGGAGGGAGAGGGGCTGAGGGTAGGTTCTAGGGAATCGGGGGGTCATATGAGCCAGATCTCATGCCTGCTGCAAAAAACCACTAACCCAATCCCTTCTCTCTCCAGATGAATCCCTGCAGCTTCATGGACTCAGGAGAAAGAAGCCAGACAACGCAGAATGTAGCCAACTGGAGATGGGGTGGGGGCTAATCTTCTCCTGCCCTTACCACCCTAGGAGTAGAAAATAAAGAAGAAGAGCAGTAGTGTGGGTGCTATGAATTAGGGGCCTAGTCTGGGCCTGCTCAGTCACTGAGAGGGGGGGAGGAGGGGAAGAAGTTCACATACAGGAAACCACGAGCAGCCAGAGCAGAGAAGAAATTGTGGCGTAGTCTGGGGGACTGGACTCAAGAAGATCTTTGGAGTCCTAGAAGGTTCAGCTGCAGCAGGATGACAATGATTGGTATGATTCAGTCAACCATAAATTTATCAGTATCATCTTTAATTCTTACAACAACCCTGGAGGCAGGTGTTATCCCTGTTTTCCAGGTGAGGAAACAAGAATCAGAGAGCTTGCCCAGGGTCATGTAACCTCTAAGTGACCGAATCATGATTTAAACCTATATCTGCCAGGCCCCAAAACTCAACCACTAAAGGTGAAAGAATCAGAGAGAGATTCGGCCCCCAGTAGGAAGGTGATAGCAGATAGTCTCTAAGGGCGGGGCTGTGGCTTCTCTGATCTCAGGCCCCTCTCCTCTGCCCAGGCCCCGCCCCTGCCCCTCCCAGCGCTGCCTGGACGTGTGGGGTGAGAGCTCCTCCTAGGACACCCCTTCCTCTTGGGGAAAGAATTACAACCTGCCCCAGGGTCCCACCCCAGGAGGACCCTCTCCTCCTTCTACATCAACACCCCTCTGAGGGCAGGGAGTGCCTCCACCTGCATCCCCACCAACCTAGCCTCAGGCCCCACTGGCCCCCGCAGAGGTCACACTGAGATGACGGTCAAGCTGGATTTCGAGGAATGTCTTAAGGACTCACCACGCTTCCGGTAAGTGTATGGAGGTCTGGGGGGCAGAGGAGAGTGGTCCGACACCCCACAACACACACACACACACACACACACATCCTTCCCAAGGCCAGATGTCCTAACAGGGAATAGTCTCAAAGGGACAAGATAAAGCTTGTGGGCCAAAGTAGTACCTCTGTTCTCAAACCCAGAGGAGGCCACCAGCCTCTCACCCCCAGAGCTGGCATTCCATCCATTCTCCCTCTCGCTGGGACCCCTGCCCCTCCCCCAGCACCTGCTCAGGGCGGTTAGCAACTTCCTGTCCTCGCCACATCCACCCTCCTTATACCCTTCCTGCTCTGGCCTGTGCCCTACTAGCTCTCACACTGTGGAGTGAGTGAGCAAGAGAGGGCAGGTGGCTGGGCCTTCTTAATCCACCAGTTTTTCTGTCTGTACCCTTCACTCCCTACCCCCAACCCCAGACCTGACCCTGCTAAGGCAAACAGACCAGATGGACCCAAGCTTTGTTTCTTTTACCCCATTCTTCCTTTCCCAGAGCCTCTATCGAGCTGGTGGAAGCCGAAGTTTCAGAACTGGAGACCCGACTGGAAAAGGTGACCCAGGATCGGATTAAGATAAGAGGGGTGGAGCCAGGGAGAAAGCTGGAGAAGGGGTGAAGGAGTCCTAAGGATTATTGAATGCTAATCATGTGAGGTAGATATTTGGGGGCTACAGAGAAGCAAAAAGGTGGTTCTGTACCCTCAGGGAGCTTGAGATCTTGGTAAACAAGACTCAATTGTGGACTTACCCAGTCAGCTCTTTAGCCCTGTATTATGCCCAGACCTGGGCTCTTGGGGAGAGTAAGACTGCTTTTGCCCCCAGGGAGCCCACAGACTGACTATGGAGGACAACCCAGTAAAATACTTAAACACAAGACAGTAAGGCATGTGTACACACACAGATGCACACACACACACACTCCCATCCCCTTTATTTTTCTCTACAGCATTTATCTCAATCTGACATATATTTACTTGCTGTATTAGTTTTCTATTGCTATGTAACCAATTATCACAAATTTAGTGACTTAGTACACTTTTTATCATAGTTTCTGGGGGTCAGGAGTTGGGGACAGCTTAGCTGGGTCTTAACTCCTGCTCAGGGTCTTACAGGTTGCAGTCAAGGTGTTGGTTGAGGCTGTAGTCTCATCTAAGGCTCAGGGTTTCCTTCCAAGCTCACATGATTATTGGGAGAATTCAGTTTCTTGCTGTTGCAGGACTGAGGCCTTCATCTCCTTGAGGCCACCAAGTCCCTTGCCATGTCTCCCTGTCCATAGGCAGTTTAATTCCTAGCACCTGGCTTCTTCAAGGCCAGCAGGAGAGTCTTCCTTATGTGTTCTGGCAAGAAGGCATCAATTTATGTCAGAATGGAATCACAGGAGCAAATCTATCACCTTTGCCATGTGTCGTAACCAAATCATGGAAATGCCGTCCCATCACCCTGTCCATATTCTACTGGTTAGAAGCAAGTCAGGTCTCACTCATACTCAAGGGGTGGGGATTATGCAAGAGTGGGAATCATCAGGGATCACCTTAGTGTATGTCTGTCATGCTTGCTGATTTTTTTTCTTGTCTACTTTTCCTCGCTAGAAATGTAAATGTCATGGGAGATTTTTTTTTTTTTTTAAGATTTTTATTGGGGAATTGGGGGGATGGGAACAGTGCTGGGGAATTGGGGAAAGGGGAACAGACAAGTTGCTGTCGTTTTGTTCTTCAATCTAGTTGTGGAGGACGTTGCTTCACTGGCCCAAGTTGGCACCATCATTGCGCTCTTCTCTGGCGAGGCAAATCAGTCGCCGGCTTCTGGACGGCCGCTCACTGCGGCTGCTGGCCGCTCACGCTGGCTGCTGGCCACACACGGTAGCCCATGGCAATCCACTGCCACAGGGACTGCAGCCCACGCCGTCGCCGGCGACTCATGGCAGCCCAGCTCCAGGTTGAGCTGTTGTTCAGCATCTTAGCTGTGGAGGGCAGTGTCACTGGCCCTCATATGTGGGATCCGAACCGGGGCCCTCTGGCATCCCAAGCGAGTTCTTAACCATCGCACCACTCGGCCGGCCCTCATGGGAGATTTTTATGTTTTGTTTTTGTTCAATCATCAGTGTACATACTATGGCCTGAAAGTTAGTGGATGACCAACTAATATATATATATATATATATATATATATGTATATATATATATATATATTTTAATTAAACTTTTTATTTTGAGTTAATTATAGACTCACAAGAAGTTGCAAAAATAGTATAGGATGTCCCAAGTATTCATCACCCAATTGTCTCCAATGGTGGCATCTTACATAACCACCAAAACCAGGAAATTGATATTGGCATGATGCAATGAACTGTCTACAGACTTTACGTGGACTTTACCTATTTTGCATTATACTCTTTTTTAAAAAAAACTTTGTTTATAATTAAGTGGCACTTTATCACGTGTGTAGATTCTTATAACCAGCATCACACTCAAGATACAAAACTCCTATCACCACAAAGGAACTCTTTTGTACTACCTTTTGTAATGATACCTTCCCCTGCCCCCTTCTCTAATCCATGATAACCACTCATTGTTCTCCATCTCTAGACTTTTGTCATTTCTAGAATGTTATATAAGTGGACTCATACAATATGTGACCTCTTAAGATTGGCTTTTTTTTCTCCACTCAGAATAATGTCCTTGAAGTTTATTCAAGTTGTTACATGTCAATAGTATCAGTAGTTCAATATCAATAGTTCATGTATGAATAGTTAATTCCTTTGCATTGCTGAGTACCATTCTATTGTATGGATGTACCAGTTTGTCACTAGTTCAGTCTTATGAAAGTTCCTTACTCAGATATTGGGGGAGGGGGTGTTGGATAAGGGAAAAACTGGACATTCAGTCCCCCAACTCCACACAAAGGACTTGTGAGCATCTGGTTACTTGTCACAGATATCCCATGGGGATATCTGATAAAGTTTGATTGTGGTCAGTTTCCTGACCATTACTGATCCTACTAGCCACCTCAAGTCAAGCTACATTTCCCTGAAGCCTTCACTAGCCCTAAAAAGTGTTTTTCAGTTCAACAAAAGTTCATCGGGCTAAGCTGACAGACTTCACAGATACTTGCTCCATCCCAGATACGGTGACTCAGGCCAGAGCCAAGTGGCATCACCTCAGGGGCAAAGCAGTTCCTGCAGGTAACAAGGGCCAGGGGTCTGGAAACCTCACTTTGGCTGCTGACTCAGCCACATGGCTCTCCCAGAGAGACCCTCCTCAGACCAGTGACTTGTCCCCTTGTTTATCAAGCCTTCTTTCTTTTTTGTCAATTGGGGCCAGACCGAATGGGCCTTACGAACACCCGAGCATGCCATCTTCACCCTGAGCCTGTGGCCTAGTGATCAATTAATATTTATGAGGAAATGTTCAATGAGCACAGAATGAGACAAATCCAGACAGGAAATACTGTAGAATTTAATACCAACCAGGTAGAGCATACATCCTGTGAGTCAGACAGTGCATGAGGATGGAGTTTCTAGGGAGCTTTGGATCCACGCAGTTGGGGGCAGGGCAGGGAGAGACACGTGGGAGTGGACAGAGAAAGATGTTTTGAAGGTGAAGCTGACATTGGCTTTGGTGGCAGGCTGGGAGAAATTTTGTTCCAGGCACAGAGCAGTGGGAGTAAAGCAACAGAGATGGGAGAATACCAGGTCAATTTTAGAAACTGTGAGAACTAAACTGGGCTGCAGAGAAGTGTAGGCAAGGTTGGGAAGAAAGGGCAGAGGCCAAAGGAAGGGGACAGGAAGTGGGACAGGAATGGGGGTGCCATCGACTGTGGAGGCACATAGCATGACTCCCTATTGCCTATTGCTTCCTAGCTCCTCAAGCTGGGTAATGGCCTTCTGGAAAGTGGGCGCCATTACCTTGCTTCCAGCCGGGCCTTCATTATTGGCATTTGTGATCTGGCCCGCTTGGGTCCACCAGAGCCCATGATGGCGGTATGTGGAGGGCCCGAACCACAGTGGGATGGGGTTTGGGATGAGGAGAGATCCTTTGGAAGCCGGGGAGGGTTGGTCTGGGGTCTGCAGGTTGCAGGCCAGAGGAGGGCTGGGGCTGCCATCTGAGACAGCCGTAGCAGGCTGGGTCTAGAGATGGGAGGGCCTTACTGCCCCATGCCTGGTACTCTTTCTCTGCCTCTTCTTGCTTAGGAGTGTCTGGACAAATTCACTGAGAGCCTGAGTCACAAGCTGGATAGCCACTCGGTGAGTGGGGGTAGGTAGGTATAGAGAGGCGGGGGGAGCGAGGTTGTCTGTGGTCCTGACCCCCACCTGCCAATTTCTGCTTCCCCACAGGAGCTTCTAGATGCCACCCAGCACACACTGCAGCAGCAAATCCAGACCCTGGTTAAAGAGTGAGTTGGGAGCGAAACCAGCCCTCTTCCCATTACCACAGGGGCTCCCTGAATAAAGTTGTGAGACTAGGGATTTCTGGTGGCCTGATTGCTATCCCCCATCCCAAGGACTCCCTTGGAGCTCTGACTGTACAGAGGCTAACTGAAAGGTGATGAGTGGGCCTGCTCTTCGGACTTCTCTGTTGGGGGCAGGTGGGTATATCTATGATTCTTTGTTATCCTCCCTTCCCCAGAGGTCTCCGGGGTTTCCGAGAGGCTCGCCGGGATTTCTGGCGGGGGGCCGAGAACCTAGAGGCTGCTCTTACCCACAACGCAGAGGTCCCCAGGCGTCGGATCCAAGAAGCAGAAGAAGCAGGAGTTGCTTTGAAGACTGCTCGAGCCGGTTACCGGGGACGGGCACTAGATTATGCCCTGCAGGTGCCTGCCCCAACCTGTCCTCCTGGATTACCAGGGCCTCAGTCATCTCAAGGCTGGAGAGTCTCTGGTGTGAAGTGGGAGGGGGCACTATGTTTTCAAGGATGACCTGGGGTATTTTTGGGCCCTCAGATCAATGTGATCGAGGACAAGAGGAAGTTTGACATCATGGAGTTTGTGAGTTGCAGCTGTAGCAAGGGCAAGGGGAGGAGCCTGCTGATGGAGAGCTGGAGGGAAGAGGGAAAGAGTGAAGGGTCCTTCCTCAGCTATTCCTTCTGCCCACCTTGGCCTCAGGTGCTGCGTTTGGTGGAGGCCCAGGCTATGCATTTCCAGCAGGGCCACGAGGAGCTGAGTCGGCTGGCCCAGTATCGCAAGGAGCTAGGCGCCCAGGTAGGGCCCCATGGAGCAGGCAGGTGATAGAGGGTAGTGGGCTCTAGGATGACTTTCCTGGCCTCATTGGGGGAGGCCAGGGCCATCAAAGATGCCCCTCCTATGCCCAGTTGCACCAGCTGGTCTTGAATTCAGCTCGCGAGAAGAGGGACATGGAGCAGAGACATGTACTGCTGAAACAAAAGGTAAGGGCTAAGGCTTCAGATGGGAGGCAGATGGGCCTGGGGCCTTGCTCTTTGCCCACAGAGTTGCTTTTTCACCCTTTTGTACCCTCAGGAGCTGGGTGGGGAGGAGCCAGAGCCAAGCCTAAAGGAGGGGCCTGGTGGCCTGGTCATGGAAGGACATCTCTTCAAACGGGCCAGCAATGCATTTAAGACCTGGAGCAGGTGAGAGAGGACACCCCAATCAGCCAAACCCATCCAATTAAGTATTTTTTGAGTGGTTATAGTATGTTAAACACAGCAAGAAAAACAGAACCCCCTGCCTTCAGAAAATTTTACATTTCATCAGCAAAGACAGGCAATAATATAATAATTAAGTAAATGTTATGTTAGTATATATTATATTAGAAGGTAAGAGCGCCATAGAAGAAAAATAACAAAGTAAGGGATGTGGATAGATGAGGGGTTGCAATTTTAAGAGGCGTGGTCAGGGTAGGCCTCATGGACATAAAGGACATCTGGGGGGAGGAATGTTCTAGGCAAAAAGAGGAGCCAGCACCAAGGCCCAGAGAAACCAGCTGGACTGTTCAGAGGAACAGAGTGGAAGCCATGGGTGTGGACAGTTAGGGAAGGAGGAGGAAGAGGTAGGAGATGAAGCTGGAGCTAATGGTGTGAATCATGATAGGGCCTTGTTGGCTTCTGTAGGGACTTGGGCTCAACTCTGAGGGAAATGGGGAGCCATTGCAGGGTTCAGAGCAGGGTGATGGTCTGCTCTGACTCAACTCCTTCCCCTTCTAGGGCCACTGCCAGCCCATATGAGATCTTTGTGCAAATTAGAAAACAGAGCCCCTTCCCCAAGATACTGCCATCTGTCAAAAACATTTTAGCAACAGACTTATTTTACTAGAAGCATTTTATTGTCATCTGCTGGAAAGTTATCTTCATAAATATATCAAATCTGGTTTGTCCAAAATGAGAATAGCACCCCTTAGATACCTTGCTCTGCAACTGTCTACCTCCTGTGGAACATCTCATGGGTCAGTCAGCTCAGATCTCTCTCCTCTCAGCAAAATCCTTAGGGGCAAAGGATCTGCTGTCCCTGTCCCGAACCTCATCCCGATGCTGCCCATGTCCATAACTCTACTTCCACCTCCTCTAGACGCTGGTTCACTATTCAGAGCAACCAACTGGTTTATCAGAAGAAGTACAAGGTGAGTAGCCTGAGTCCTGGAGGCCTAGGCCCAGGAAGATTCGGCCCTTGCTGCAGCTGGCTGGACATCTGCCCCTTTATCACATTCTCGTTCCAGGATCCTGTGACTGTGGTGGTAGATGACCTTCGCCTCTGCACAGTGAAGCTCTGCCCTGACTCGGAAAGGCGGTTCTGCTTTGAGGTGGTATCCCCCAGCAAGTGAGTGCAATCCCCAGGGGTGATGCTCTAATATCTCTAAATTTTTACCAACTGGAAAGGTAGGGCCAGTTACAAAGGCATCGTTGGAGTAGGGACTTGGAGGCCCTCCATACAGCCCCAGGTGTTAACTCTTTGATGGCTGGATTGTGGGGCAGCCTCGGGGAGGCTGTAGGGTGATGGGGGATATTTAAAAGGATATTACCAATTGGTGCAGAAGTATTCCATATGACTGGTGCCAGTTGAATACTAGCTCAATGTCGGCCTGCCCATCCTGCCACATGCTTCCTAGACCTCAGACCTCTCCCTGCTCTCCATCCCCTCTCCTGCCCAGGTCCTGCCTCTTGCAGGCTGACTCAGAGCGCCTCCTGCAGCTGTGGGTCAGTGCTGTGCAAAGCAGCATTGCCACGGCCTTCAGCCAGGCTCTCCTTGATGACAGCCCTCGGGGTCCAGGCCAGGTACCTTGACATTGGGGTGCAGGGTCAGGTTGCCCAGGGAGATGGGGCATCCCTTTCCCTAGGCCCTCTGGCTACTCTTTTTTCCCCTGTCTCCTCCAGGGCTCAGGACATCTGGTCATGGGTTCTGCTGCCACCCTGGGCTCTGGTGGGACGACCAGGGGAAGGGAGGCTGGTGGAGTGGGGCATGTGGCAGCTCAGGTACAGAGTGTGGATGGCAATGCCCAGTGTTGCGACTGCCGTGAACCAGCCCCTGAGTGGGCCAGCATCAACCTTGGTGTCACCCTCTGCATTCAGTGCTCCGGCATCCACAGGTCATTCCCTAAGGCTGCAAATCAAGGGCCCATTCTTTCTGGCTGCAGTATTGGGTGGAACCAAGATAGAGCTAATCACACAGGCTCCTCCCTTCCCACCCTGCTCTGGCTTTCTCTCAGATTCTGGCTGTCACCAGGCACAGGCCTGGGTCGAGTATGTGGGGCACAAGGTGAACCCTGGTGCACCCAGTCCCTCAGTGTCCTTGTCTAGTCAGGGTTGGGGAACACCCAGAGGAGTTTATTGGCTTGATTAGAGGAGCTGTGGGGTCAGGGCTGCTGAGGGTAGGGAAGCCAACAAAGAGCAGAGAGAGAAGAGGTTGTGAGGCCTTAGCAAGTTTATAAAGCCCTCACCCCGAGTCAGTCTGGTGGAGGAAGGGAAGGGGAATGGCAGGAAAGAGTTTTCCAGGCCAAAGTGCCAAGAGAGAAGGGAGGTAGCTGAAGAGGATGAGACTCTTAAAATGAAATGTAGGAGACGAAGGGAAAAGAGGGGATGGTACACAGGCAGGATCCTTCCAGATGCAGGTCAAGACTACATGGCCCTAGCTACCTCCTAGCCCAGCACCTCTGTGTGGTCCCCCCCACGCAGGACATTGTCTCCAAGTCCTTTCAGGAGCAGCAGCAGCTCCCCCAGCTACTGCCTCACATAGGGCCTGACTTCTACTCTGGCCCTTCAGGAGCCTTGGTGTTCATTTCTCCAAAGTCCGTTCTCTGACACTTGACTCGTGGGAACCAGAACTAGTAAAGGTGACTTGGGGGTGTTGTGAAGAGTGTGGGGGATGGAGCGGGGTGAGGACAGGGCTGCAGAGTCCTATGGGCTCAGACACTCACCCCTACCCTACTTGACTATCTCTGTTCCTTGGTTACCGGAAGCTTATGTGTGAGCTGGGAAATGTAGTCATCAACCAGATCTATGAGGCCCGTGTGGAGGCCATGGCTGTGAAGAAACCAGGGCCCAGCTGCTCCCGGTGAGGCTTGGGGGCAGAGGCTGGGGCTGCCCTCTTCACAGGGAGGGAAGACGGTCTGGAATAGGAGGAGGGAGGGTGTCCCCTTCTTCCCCCCTATCTCTCTAGGCAGGAGAAGGAGGCCTGGATTCATGCCAAATATGTGGAGAAGAAGTTCCTGACCAAGCTTCCTGAGGTTCGAAGGCGAAGAGGCGGCCGGGGGCCCCCAAGAGGGCAGCCTCCTGTGCCCCCAAAGCCTTCCATTAAGCCCCAGCCAGGGAGCTTCAGATCCAAGCCAGGTATAGGGTTTGTTGGGCATTCATTGAGCATCTGCTATGTGCTCAGCACATCAAACCTGATGGGGAGGTTCAGAGTATGAGACCCAGCCCTTCCCTTTTAGAACATTGGAGGGGTCAGACCACATTCACACTTGTTTTAGAAGGCAAGAATTCTGGGGGTTAGAGCGAAAAATGGGAAGGAGCGTGGGACTAGGAGTAGGCAGGGAGGGCTATGTAAGGGTGTCAACAGCATCAGAAAAGTCAGGACTGAGACTGAGCTAGGGCCTCCAAAGGCCTGTAAGGAAGGGTATGTGTTTGGCTGGAACAGAGAAAGCCAAGAGAGCTGAGGCAGACCTTCACTTGCAATATCCCAACCAGTCAGGGTGGTTGGACAGGAAGAGGTAAATGATGCTTTCTAGCCCCCACACCTTAGGAGCCCTGCTCACATACACACTCACACATACCTCCACTTCCCACCACAGTCCCCAGAATCTTGAAGGCCTCCCGGTAATTGGGAAGTGACCTATCCAATTACCGCATCAGGGGACTTTGCTGAGGGTTTTCTTTCCAGACTCAAAGCTGATTCCCCCTAACAGAGCCACCCTCTGATGACCTGGGCAGCCTGCATCCTGGGGCCCTGCTGTTTCGGGCTGCTGGGCATCCTCCATCCCTCCCCACCATGGCTGATGCCCTTGCCCATGGAGCAGATGTCAACTGGGTCAATGCGGGTCAAGAGAATGCCACACCACTGATCCAGGCCACAGCTGCTGTGAGGGTCTTGCCAATCTCCCCACTCTACCCTAAGGCTCCTGACCTTCCTTGCTACTGAATTTCTTAGCCCTCCCCCCACCCTATAGGGAGTGATAACCAATAGAAACTGGTTGCTAAGTGTGTGTGATTTGGAGGCAGACAATCTGGGTTTGAATCCAGACTCTCACCACTTAGTGTTATGAACCTCTCTGTGCCTCAGTTTCCTCAGCTGTAAAATAGGGATCCCATATCTCATTAGGTTGTACTGTGGATATAATGTATGAATACATGTAAAGAGCTAGAGCAGAGCCTGATACCTAGCTGTACCCCTACACTCCTGATCCCATCCCCCGCCCTCTGACCCCACTCTAAAATATTTTTAAATCTGCATCTAAAGATGCTGCCCTCTCTCCCCATTCTCCACTTCTCAATGCAGAATTCTCTTCTGGCCTGTGAGTTTCTCCTCCAGAATGGGGCAAACGTGAACCAAGCAGACAGCCACGGCAGGGGCCCACTCCACCACGCAACCATTCTTGGGCACACTGGGTAGGAGGGGCAGGGATAATGGCCTTGGGGAGAAAGGTACCAGACAGGGTGAGCTGCTGGCTGAACCTGACTATCCTCTCCAGGCTGGCCTGCCTGTTCCTGAAACGGGGAGCCGACCTGGGAGCTCGGGACTCTGAAGGCAGGGACCCTCTGACCATAGCCATGGAAACAGCCAACGCTGACATCGTCACCCTGTGAGGATGCCTGAAGGGGCGGGGCTAACGCTTGCACCATCCACGTGGGCGGGGCTAACGCCGGGACCCGAATGTGCCCAGCCTGGGGAGAGGCGGGGTCATTTCCTGGACCAGGCGAGAGACAGGTTGCTCCAAGTGTTGATTGGGCGTAGAATAGGAAGGGGGCGGGCAGGGCCTGAGGATGGGGAGCTCATCTTGAGAGGCAACATTCATCAACATTTTTGTCGGGCATCTTTTTAAGCACTAGACCCTGGGGAAACAGATGAATAAACAATTCAAAGGGTGGGAACTAGAGTCGGGGAGAATGAGAAGATTCTCATTCATTCTTTAATTCCCTCTCCTTTAGGCTACGATTGGCAAAGATGAGAGAAGCTGAAGCAGCTCAAGGCCAGGCAGGTAAAGTATCCACCCCACCACCAGGCCTAACATTATATCTGTGCTTCTGGCCCCAGGTGACTTTCCCCCTCGTGTCCAGCTTCATTAATTATTATTTATTAAACATGTATTGGGTACATTCGATGTGCCAAGGCAAGCAAGGGCTGTGCAGGTGTTTCCTCCACCCAGCTCTTACCAGGCCCACCCGGGGCCAGCTGTCCCCAGCATTGTCTCTCGTGTTTCGGCCCAGCTGTGGAGCTCTCAGCCCTTCCTCCCTCCCCTCAGGAGACGAGACGTATCTCGACATCTTCCGTGACTTCTCCCTCATGGCGTCGGATGACCCGGAGAAGCTGAGCCGGCGTAGTCATGACCTCCACACGCTTTGATTCCAGGACTTCGCCGGCCCGCGACTCCTGCCCTTCCCCACTATCAGGCCCGTCGCCATTAAAGCCTTTGTGTTTTGCTCTTTCCTTCATAGTTCATTTATTGGGTGCCACCTCCTGGCCTGCAAGGTGTTGGGAGCTGCAGCTCCCGGGGTGCGGAGTGGATGGGAATTTTGGAGCTCGAGTCACGCAAGGGGTGACTCCCGGGGAGTTAAGTGGAAGCTGCAGCCTAAGCCCTAGCACCCGGCGGTCATGGGGCGGGGCTCTTGGGCTCAGGCGACGTGGCCAGACCCGGCCGCGGAGAAGCCGCTTGCGTGGGCTGGGGCCGGCCTTCCAGTAGGGGAAGCTGGCAGCGGGCCGGGATGGAGAGGCTGGGTCGGCCACCCCGGCTCGGAGGCATCCACGGAATGTGGCGGCTCAGCACTCGCCCCCTCGGGAATTCCCAACGGGAGCGACGAGGAGGAAACTGACGGTCCCCAAGCCCTGGACAGTCGCGCCTCGGTTTTCTCAGAGGGGCAAGATTGAGGACTCCTTCCGCCCCCGAGCTGCAGACGTGAAATCGGGCACACCTAGGGCCGGCGGCCCGGGCCGTCGCGGCCACATCCGGAGCGACGCGCCTGAGTCAACCTCGGGACCCCACCCCCACTCGCGCCCGCCCGTCCAGCCCGTCAGCCCAGTGTCTCCAGTTCGCCTCTGTCAGCTCCCACCTCCACCCGAGCCGCGCGAGCCTCGCGGGGGCGGGGGGCGGACCAAGGGGGCGGGGCTGTTTCTTAAAGGGTCCCCAGCCACTGCCCTTAGGCCACTTCCTGGGAGCAGAGAGGACTTCGGCGGCTGCTGCGACACCCCCGTAAGACGGCGACTCCCGGGTTCCTAGACTCCCGGCCGCTTCCCTCAGAGTCCTCGGACCATCGCAGCTTGGACTGAGAGTGCATCCTCGTTCCCTAACCGATATAAAGGCACCTCCACCATCAGCTCCAGGCAGCCCAGCCTCCATCTCCTGGGACCCGCGCGGGAGCCAGGCCTCTGACCAGCCCCCGGAACCCTGAGTAGACTCGCCCACAGCGACAGCAATCTGCCCAAGAACTCGGAAGCTGGACCCTTCAAAGAATCGGCCTTGTGCTCGCCACCGTCACCTGCTGGTTGGATTCCGGAAACCCACTTGTCTGAAGACCTCGGAAAGGAATCGCTGATCACCCAAAATCGGATGCGTCTGAACCTAAAACTCCCTTCCTTCTTGGGCTTCCCTGTGCTCTTTTCATTCGTTCTCTCAACCTTTCAGGCGTTTCTGTGCCAGGCACCATCCCCCACCAACAAAGTAGCTGGGTGAGCCCCAAATCTTGCTGCCTTGTACTCCAATCGGTGCCTCCAACTTAGAGTCTGAACTTTACAATTCAATTCTGCACACACTCAGGAAGCTCTGCCTTGTCTTCTCTTTTGGTGTCTCCAGTAGGCCCCAAAATTTCCCCTCCTCCTGTGCCCTCTTCGCCCCCTTCCTTTGGGGGCCCTGTGACCCTGAATGTGGGGGGCACGCTGTATTCTACCACTTTGGAGACCCTGACTCGCTTCCCAGACTCCATGCTGGGGGCCATGTTTAGGGCTGGCACCTCCATGCCCCCCAACCTCAACCCCCAGGGAGGTGGCCACTACTTCATCGACAGAGATGGCAAGGCCTTCCGGCACATTCTCAATTTCCTGCGGCTGGGCCGCCTGGACCTGCCCCTTGGGTATGGGGAGACAGCACTTCTTAGGGCAGAGGCCGACTTCTACCAGATCCGGCCCCTCCTAGATGCCCTGCGGGAACTGGAGGCCTCGCGGAGGACCCCTGCACCCACAGCTGCCCTGCTTCACGCAGATGTAGATGCCAACCCCCGCCTGGTGCACTTCTCTGCTCGCCGGGGCCCACACCACTATGAGCTGAGCTCTGTCCAGGTGGACACCTTCCGAGCCAACCTCTTCTGCACTGACCCAGAGTGTCTGGATGCCATGAGGGCCCGATTTGGTGTGGCCAATGAGGAGAGAGCAGAGGGAGGCCCACACTTTCGTTTGGAGTGGGCCCCCCGCCCCACAGAACTCCCTGAAGTGGAGTACAGGAGACTGGGGCTGCAGCCATTGTGGACTGGGGGGCCAGGAGAACGACGGGAAGTGGTGGGCACACCGGGCTTCTTGGAGGAGGTGCTGCGGGTGGCTCTGGAGCATGGCTTCCGTCTAGACTCTGTTTTCCCTGACCCTGAAGACCTGCTCAACTCCAGATCTCTGCGCTTTGTCCGTCACTGAAAACCAAGAACTGGGAATGCTCTCCTCCGTTTGACTGGGGGTTGGGGGAGAAAGGGAGCAGCAAAGGGGATGAAGGCTCCCCTGAAGCCTCTTCCTAGCTCTGCTATAGGAGCTGTGAGAGTCAGGGTTCCCACTGCACCAGATTGGAGCCTACAAGTGGGCAGGACTCCCCAAACCCAAGCCCGCTGAGGGCTTGCAAGTGGTACAGAGGCTCTGGACTGGTGCTAATCCTGGGAGGGGTGGGGAAAGTTCCCCTGGCTTGTTCTTGCCTTGAGACTGGGGACCTCCAGTATTTCCTTGGTTAGAGTTCAGTATTCAGGGGTCTGAAAAGTGGGGACACTTCTCTGCCCAGGCTAAGCCTATCTAGCAGAACCCTGCAGGGACACTGAGGGTTGGGAGGAAGAGGGACTTTGCTCTAATGTGACTTCTCCTCCTGGAGCTGGGTGGCCTGGCCTGACCAATGACAGGCCAGAACACTCTGGAACATGGGAAGAGAGATTCTTTGCTGTGTCCCAAGCTACCTACGGAGGGAGACAGAAAGGCTACACCACACCCTAAGCTGGCATAAGGTAGCTAGGAGAATTCCCATTAACTATGGGGTAGAGCATCCCTCTGGAGATCCAAGTGTTTTAAAGGATCCCATATTAATGGTGGGGCTGGTCATGGGGAGGAGGGTGGCATCTTCTTGGGTCCTGGCCTTTCTTCCTTCATGTGTGCGTGTGTTCTGCATGTGTCTGACGGATGTGGGGGTCTCTGACATCCTGGCTCCCATCTGTGTTTTTGGAGACCATGTCTGTGTGCTGGTCTTTCTGTGGTCTCTGCATGTCCAGGCCTGTTTGGGGTTGCCCAGCAACTGTTTGAGCACCAGGTGTGTCTGTGGTATGGATGTGAGTAAACTGAGAATAAGTAGTTTAATCACAAGGGATGTGTGTGAATGTGCATTCGCATCACCACATATGGGCCAGTTGGGGTTTGAATCATTAGGATCTTCCTGGTGAAAGGTAAGAGAAGTCACTAGGCTTAGCCTGGTCTTGGAGGCCTTTATAGAACTCTTGGTTGTTAAGCCAGCCATAGGCCTGTTGCTAGGAGATAGCTGGAGAAGACCCAAGGCTTCCCGGGGCAGAGAGGAGATGAATGGAAGAGTTTATGAGAGTCAGGGAGGATATGGGAAGGGATGGGATTTCTGAGTCCCTGAGGGGATGGGATACTCATGAACAACTTTACTGGGGGCGTTACTTATTATCACTTACAAAAAGAAAAATAAAATTGCTTTTGGAACCACAAACTTGTAATGGCTGCTGAGAGACAGGTTGGGTGCTATCCCCTTTGCATCAGAAGCCCAGCTGTCTCTGCCTATCTTCTGTTAGAGATGTCTTCTTCTGGTCCCCAGGTTTACCCCAGCCAGGGAGGGAGCAGTGGCACTGTTCTGGAATGCTCTAGAACCTCCAACTGTTCTGGGACACTAGAACTTCCAGGCAAAGGGCTAGAAACAGGATCACAGAGCATTCTGAGACCTTCATGGCCTAGATGGGGCCAGCTCCCCTCCAGCAACCCCCAGTGGGCCTCATGTGGATGTTGACACTAGGTGGGGTTTTCCTGGCAGCTTCTCAGGCCTGTGTCTTCTGCCGTCTCCCATCCCGACACTTATCAGGCCGCCTGGCTCAACTCTGCAGCCAGATGGGGGCCCCGTGGAAGGACTGTAAAGCCTCCTGGAACTTCTCAGCCTTTGCCTTAGGTAAGTCCAGAGACGGGCCTAGCCATACTCACCCCCATGCCCCAAGAAGGGCAACATGTGGCTTCCCAGCTGTGCCCCTCAGCTGTCACCTCAGTCCATAGCCCTTCCTGGACACACTGGCCTCTCTCTGAGAGAGCGTTTTGGATCCTGGGAAAGTCAGGAAAGATCCCAGAATCTTCTGGGCTAATAAGGGAATCACTCACTGGTCCTTGCCCATTTCCACAGATGAAGTGTCCATGAACAAAGTCACAGAGAAGACTCACAGAGTTCTGAGGGTCATGGGTGAGGTCAAAGGGGAAGACACATCCTAGAGGCTAGGATGAGTACCAAGGAGGGGGATGGGAAGAAAGGACTGGGGAAGCCAGGAAGGGTGGAGGGCAGGTGGAGACAGAAGGTGTGATGGGGGAAGTGTTGGGTGAAGGGGTGGAGGTCAACTGGCACTGTTGAGGCCCTGGGTATAATGGCTGCTCTCTTTCTCCTCAGAGATCAAAAAGTCTGTCTCCTCACTCCCTTCATATTGGCAATGGCTTCAAAAGATCAAGCTCCCTGAGTACACCAGGGAAGGTACTGATGCCGGGAGGGATCAAGTGGTGCCTAGGATCTCGGGCAAAGGGGTGTGTGGCTGAGTGGCTCATCTACCTCCACCCCTTCTTGTCTATCATTTCAGCTCTCTGCGCCCCCACCTGCCGTGAGTAGAAAAAGAAAGGGGTAGAGAGTACAAGGGACTTTGGGGTACCTGAGGAGAGCCTGATAGCCTAAGAAAGTGGGATACTTTGGAAGGGTGGAGTCAGGACTTTCCCTCCCCGGCTCCTGTCCATTTGTCTCCTGCAGGGGGCAGCACCATCCTGTACAACTGCTCCACCTGCGAGAGCTTTGAAGTGCACTGTTGGCCGCAAAAGCGCTGCTTCCCAGGTCCTTACTCCCCACCCTTGCCTGACCTCACCCAGATCTCTGAGCTCTTAGGTGTCCCCCCCAACACCACCACCCCCAGCGTCGACAGGTGTCGTCCCGAGGATCTTTCACTGCCTCCTGGGTTCCCTGCAGGAAGTCACGATCTTCGGGAAGCTAGGATTCTGCTCCTCTTTGTATTTGGAACTGTCCTGCTCCTGGGTGTCCTGAGCCTCCTCGTGGAGTGAGTTGGGGAATAAGGGAAGGGAAGAGCCTCACTGCCTCTGACCCACCCAGTACCTTCCACCACCCACCCTTCCTCCTTCTCTCCCAGCCTCCTTCCCTTCCCTTCCAAGACCCCCCCCCACCTCTGTCTTCCCTCAGGTCCCATCTCCTCAAATCAAAAAATGACTTATGAAGACGCTGACAGATCCCAGCCCGCAGTTGTGAAGAGAATACACCCACAACTTCCACTTCCCTTGGGTGGTTGGAACCAGCCAGCCCCAAAAGTTCAGTCTTCCAGACTCTGAAACCCAGATGTCCCCATGATCCCAATGTCAGAGGGCCTCCAGGGAACCAGGCACCCACAGCTGGAAAGTTCCTCCCCCCAGCCCTCAACCAATCAGATAGGGCAATCACCAATGCCAGGAAAATATCTACAGAAGGAAAGAATCCCCTCCACATGCACTACCACTCCCATACTCCTTTCTGCCTGTTCCCAGAAAGCGGGGGTTGTCTGCCCCAGAAGCTACTCTTGGCCCTCCTATGACTGATTGGGAATCCGGGAATGAGTGTTCTGGAAAATTCCCTCCTTCTTCCAGGGAGACCACATCAGTCAGTCTGTTGGCATGCTCTCCCTCCATTTAACATTGTGAAGCCTTGGCCTCCCACAGAGGCTTCCCTTCTGCCAGATCCAACTAAACGTGCTGTGAAATGGCTTCCACCCCTGCCTGGCCTCTATCTGCAACTGGAGTGGGAGGACATGAAACTCAGTGGAGCACAGTGGTTCTCACCTGGGAGTATTTTGCACCCCAGGAGACATTTGACAACATCTGGAAACATTTTTGATGGTTTTGATTGGCGAGGTGGGGGTGGGGTTATGCTACTGGCATCTAGTGGGTAGAGACCAAGGATACTATTCAACATCCTAAAACGCATAAAAGAGTCCTCCACAACAAGAAATTATCCAGCCCAAAATGTCAATAATTTGTGGTTGAGAAATCCTTATGTTTGGTCCCCTGGCTATCAGGGGTTTTGGTTTGGGGGATGGGGAATGGAACATGAAAAGAGAGGCTTGTCATCAAACACAAGTCTCAGTCCAAGGGCCTAGGCCTGTAAGGGATCCTGGCCCTCACCTAGTCCAGTGGTTTTCAAACTGAGTACCTGGGAGTTCCAGGGCCAGGGTTCTCAACCAGCTGCACATTGGAGTCACCTGGGAAGCTATAAAAACTACCATGCTTGGATCTCATCTCCAGAGATGCTGAATTTAGTGGTCTCATATGGGGTCTCAGAGAATCTACTTTACAGCCAGGGATAGAACCACAGTTTTGGGAGTACCCATAAGATCCTGGGATGGGGAGAGGAATGCCTACCTCTTCCAGAAGAGTACCTTCCATGTTGCCTTACATGTTCTAGTCCAATCCCTTCATTTTCCACACAAAAAATGAGGCCAAGAGGGGCGACCGAGTGGCTCAGTTGGTTAAGAGTTGGCTTAAGAGCGTGAGTTATGAGCAACAGGGCCGCCGGTTCGATTCCCACGTGGGCCAGTGACACTGTGCCTGAGCTGAGCTGCCAACAGGTGGCAGGATGGCTCAGCTGGTGTAACAACAAGATTGCCTGTTCGGGGCCAGCCAAATGGCTCAGTTGGTTAAGAGTTGGCTTAAGAGCGCAGGCTCTGAGCAACGGGGCCGCCAGTTCAATTCCCACATGGGCCAGTGACGCTGCGCCTGAGCTGAGCTGTCGCTGAGCTGCCAACAGGTGGCAGGATGGCTCAGCTGGTGTAATAACAAGACTGCCTGTTCAATGGTGGGCTACGCCCATCCGCAACTAAGACTGAACTGGGCACCTTGAGCTGAGCTGCCCCCAGGATGGCTCAGTGAATAGGGCGTGCACTCTTAAAAACAAGGCTGCTGGTTCGACTCCCACATGGGATGGTGGCTATGCCCACCTGCAGCTAAGACTGAATTCAGCACCTTGAGCTGAGCTGCTGCCTGGATGGCTCAGTAGATAGAGCGTGCGCTCTTAACAACAAGGCTGCTGGTTTGACTCTCACATGAGATGGTGGCTCTACCCACCCGTAACTAAGACTGAACACAGCACCTTGAGCTTAGAGGCCATGAGCTGTCGACGGGAAGCCAGATGGCGACTGGCACCGCCCACAATGAAGATTGAAAAACAATAACTTGGCTGGTCCCCTTCCCCAATTCCTCAACACTATTCCCCTCCCCCAACCCCCCAATTAAAAAAAAAAATCTTAAAAAAAAAAAAAAGATGAGACCAAGAGATCATACAGCAAAATCATACAACTTGTCCAAGATCGTACAACTCATTCATCCATTCATTTGATACTTAGTGATTGCCCACCAAGTGCCAGGCAGGGTCACTGCCCAAACTATGGTGAGGAAGCCATACCTCTTGACTGCTCAGGCACCACAGTTCTCTTCGGATCTGCAGTAGATGCCTTGTGCCTTCCTAAGCTGTACCTTCGTTCCAGGCTCAACATTTTGGAGTTACCCTTGTTTTCACACCCAACATGCAGTGGGTCAACCAGTTCTTCCCATTCTTCAAGAACCTCTATCTGTGCCCTCCTCTCACTCTGTGGCCCCCAGTCCACCCTAGAACCCTCTCACTGTGGACTTGTCTCCCAGATGTGCCATCTGACTCTGCCCACTCCCCTCGAATCCATTGCACCGTTAGCGGCTCAATGGTCTTAAACTCTACATGTTCACAACCTCCTGTCCAGCATAAAATGATGGTTAAGAATTTGGGCTTTGGAGTTGGGTTTCAAATATTTACTCTGTCTCTTGGACCCTTGGGCAAGTTATTTAACTTCTTGGTTCCTATTTCTTCATATAAATGCAGATTATATATTTCATTGATTCTATGGCCTTATTTTTCCTGTTTACATTTTAACATCTCTGAAGAATCCATTTTAAATTGAAGAAATGTCATGGCATTATGGTATATATTTACAATTAATGATAACTTAAATTCAATGAAATGCAGCGGTATTCACCTTATGGGATTACTGTGAGGTCCAAATAAGTTCATATAAAATGTTTGGGACTGTGCCCAACATGTAATGAGCCCTCATTAAATATTAGCCATTATAATCTCTTAGTTAAACCCTTCCATGGGGTGGCAGGTTAGCTCAGTTGGTTAGAGAGCAGTGCTCATAACACCAAGATTGTCAGTTCGATCCCCACATGGGCCACTGAGTTGCGCCCTCCACAGCTAGATTGAAACAACTACTTGACTTGGAGCTGATGGATCCTGGAAAAAATGCCCTCCACAACTAGATTGAAACAACTACTTGACTTGGAGCTGATGGGTCTTGGAAAAACACACTGTTCCCAATAAAAATTTTTTAAAAAGAAAGAAAAGAAACCTTCCCTAGCTCTTCCTTGCCTACAGAGTATAGACTTGGCCCTTGACCCTGACATTCAAGGAAGCTCCTTGTCTTATTTAGTCCCCAGGCCAGACCTGTCCAAACACAGATCAAACTGGAATCTCCACTTGAATGCCTCACAGGCATCTCAGACTCCACATGTCCAAACTCACCTTCCTTCCTGACCCCACCCCCCTCTTTTGATCTCTCTCAGGCTTAATGGCAGTGCCAATATGTCATGGACATCCTCTTCCTCTCATGCTACTTGCCCACTTCTCACCTTTGTAATGCTGCTTGAAACCTGACCCCAATGTGTTCCTAGAGCTTTATATCTCAGCTCTGCCCACCCCACAGCCAGACTGAATCACTGGTAGTTGCCCAAACACTGTTTTCTCATGTTTCCTTGCCTTTGCCCAGGCTTGTTCCTATATCTGGGATGCCCTTCTCCTTCAGCTCAGATATCACCTCTTCTGGGAAGGCTTCTCTGAACCCCTGAGGCAGGGTAGAGTGTCCCTTCTCTAGGCATCTCTCATGTGGCACCTGTTATATCAGGTAGTAGTGTTTCTTTTCACATGAACTACACCATGAACTACCCTGCACAGCCACTACTTAAGGTTTGTGTCTTTGTTTCCTCAGTGCCTGGCACATGGGATATGCTAGGAAATGTCTTGACAACTCCAGCCCCTTGTCTGAGCCCTTGTGATATGCCCTCCCCCCAGAAGCTCTTCCTGAGCACATAGCACAGAAGGCTGGTAGAGTTGGTGTTTCTTTTCTGTGCACATAAGGCCAACCTACCAAAGTGTGGCTTGCAAGGGCAGGGCTGGTTTTTTCTGAGCCCCTCACCAAACAGGGAAGGCTGCTGTGAGTGTGGCAGTTTTAAATAATGACCCCTACATTCTTTGACATGCCTCCGATCCAGAGGTAGGATTCATGTATCCTTCCTTTGAACCTGGGCTTCATAACTGGCTGACCAATTGAATATGGCAAAAGTGATGCTGGGCCACTTTCTGGTCTCAGGCCTTAAGAAACTGGCACCTTCTGCCCTCTGCCTCTTGGGGCGCTCACTTTGAAACCCAATTACCATGCTATAATGATGCTCAGCCTACATGAATAGTCCACAGGGAGGGGTTCAGCCAAAATCCAGCATCTACTGCTAGACATAGGAGTGATAATACAGCCCCTAGCTGTCAAGTCATCCCCAGACTTTCAGTTTTTCCAACTAAGGCCCCAGACATAGTGGAGCAGAGATAAACCATCTCCATAATGTCATGTTGGAATTTCAGATTCTCAAAGTCCAAGAGCATAATAAAATGGGGTTTCTCTGCTACGAGGTATTATTACTCAACAATAGATAACTGAAACAATGAGGCAGAAAAAGGAGCATAAGGGTTGGCACCAAAGGCCCTCAACATGTGGAGTCTCTCCATAGGGCTGTTTGAGTGTCCTTATGTTGTGGTGGCTGGCTTCCCCTAGAGTGAGTGATCCAAGAGAAGAAGGCAGAAGCCACTCTGTCTTTTATGACCTAGCTCGGAAGTCACACACCATCCGTTTCATAATACATCGCTGATTACACAGATCAGTGCTATTCATTGTGGGAAGGCACTATGCAACAGAGTGAATACTGGGAGGGGAAGTTCATTAGCAGCCATTTTGGAGACTGGCTATCACACACATAGACAGTTAATTCTCTAATAACCCCTTAAGGTAGATACTCCTAATAGGCTTATCTTGAAGATGAAGAAACAGAGGCACAGAAACGTGAAGTAACTTGCTCAGATTCACAGGATAGTAAGTGGTAAAGCTGGGATTCAAATTCAAGTAGTCAGGCTCCAGAGGCCTAAGCTACTATGCTACACAGACCCTCAGCCCCATTGTAAGTCTGAAGGAATATGGTAGGTATGAGCGCTTCCACTTGGAAAAGCAAACCAACAGATACATACAAAGTGTGTGCTCATAACTCTGAAAACCAGTAAGGCAAATGCAAATTGAGAAAGGATGAGACCTCAGGGTCCTGGGAGATGGAGATGGGGTGATGGAACAGGAGGGTCTCACCCAAGGGTCTGGGAAAAGCCAACCATGTGGGGCCAGGGAGTACCAAATGGGGAGGAAGGCAGAAATGTATTCACCAGGAGAATGCTCATGGATTAGGTTTGGAAACTCCCATCCCCATCACTCCCAGAAAAGGAGCTCTTTTTGTGTTTTTTTTTTTTCTTTTTTTAAGCTGAGCCATCCTGCCACCTGTTGACAGCTCAGTGGTAGCTCAGCTTGGGCCGTGAATCGAACCGGCGACCCTGTTGCTCAGAGCTCGCACTTTTGAGTGAACTCTTAACCAACTGAGCTACTCGGCTGGCCGAAAAGGAGCTCTTGATGTAAAAAATCTTTTGCTTCATCCTACCTATGTTAATGACTCTGTCTCATCCATTTGTTCAACAAAAGTTACTGAGCACTTATCACATGAGCCAGGCACTAGATTGGGCATGGGGAAAACAGCAATGCCCAGGCAAAATGGAGTCCTTTTCTATGTTGAGCTTGGAGTCTAGCAAGGGAGACAGACAAGTTACTGGCAAATTCTACCAGAGCAATGAGTGCAATGATGGGAAAGCACAGGAATCTTAAAGTGGAGGGGACAAGGCCAGACCAGTTAGGGACAGGCTTCT